AGGCTTTAACAAGGCTTTAATAAGCTAAACAATAGAGGTACATGAGAAAACGTGTTCATAACGAATGAAAATAAATAAATAATTAAATTGTGTCCGTGCCAGTCCCAAACCCTGGTCTCCCACTCTCTGGTCCAACACTCTACCCATTGCCCTATTGGAGGCTTGTTGTGAAATGAGCTGCACATTGCACAACAACACTGTGACGACTTTTTATACTGAGGAGGTGGAGCTTCACCCGGGGATTGCCAGGTAAGGGGCTGAACATAGGTTCTGGTGGATTGTCGTACGACTTGTGACATCACAAACTAACGGAAGTATAAAACTTGTCGTTAATATACATTAAAAATACATTTACTTACAGTAAATATGCCCCTGGGTGTATTTTTTTTGGTCCTAGGACTGTTTTTTTAAGAAGTACATACCCAAAGTTGAGTTAAAAAAAAACCTTTAAAAAGTGAATTTTGCATAATAGGTCCCCTTTAATCAATGACAGCAAGAATAATCTATTTTCAGTCATCCAAGTGTGGTACGCTCAGGCCRTGGCATCCATTTCCACAAAATCCTTCTTCTGTTCTTGCAGAAAAAGATTTTCTGTCAAGCTTTCATACATCATATCGATTTGCATAAAATCTAATATTAATTACAATGATTGGCAGGAAAATTACAGAACACGAGTGGCACTGGAGCTTTGAGCCACAATACAGACAATCACTRCTGTACGACCCCTGAAATCTAACATTCACTGAGAGTTTATTCATGTAGATGAGATTGAAAGATACAGTTGTATTTAAATTACCAGTTCCTTTCATTTTCTTTTAGGAGTAATTAAGTATTTTTGAATGAACATAAGTTGAATTTAACATTCTAAGTGTCACATGTGCATGTTGTGTCCATTTGACACTTGATGAAGAACTTCCAGGGAGCAGAGCATCATTTTACGTACCGGTTGTCGTGATAAGCGGCGGATCCGTTGGCCTCTCTGTGTTTGTCTTCTGCTACGTCCTGGGCTAGCTCTGCGCCCAGCGCCAGTTTCTGCCACTCCTTCTTGCGATCGTGAGGCTGCCGCGGGATCTTCTCCGGCTCGGGTGGACGGTCGATCGCCTTCAGCTTTGATCAGACCGGCGAGGAGGAAAAAAACAAGGATTTGTGCGACGGGATGGAGAGGTTTAGGTCAGGATGGGGCGGGATGATGAGAATCAAGTGAAGGACGAGGGAGGGGAAAACACAAACAGTAAAAGGTAATGAGAGGGAAAATAGATAAAAGTGTACTTTGTTATTTCAGAACACAGCTTCTTCAGTATTAACAAGCAAAGTTGAGATTTGTGCCCAGATTTTGACTCTGTAAATTTACCTTTCCATATTGATAAATATATTTACACAAAAGGTGTTTTGGACTTCTGCCTTCCTTTAAATTGTTTTGAGAGTGTGGCAGTTAGAAAGCGACTTTAATTAGCTCTCTAAAGACCGAAATTGCACAGATGTTTTCAAAAACTCTGACTGGAATTAAACTCTCAGAACATTAACAGACCAAATCAAATCAGTGTAAACAAGTTCATATTGAATTAAAGTGAGTAAAAACAGGACAACAAATAAGAAAATCTGTCAAATTCTCAGCACACTCTGCCACCAAGATTACATCATGACTGACTTGCAAGAAACAAAAGAGATGAGCTTGTGAAGCAGAAAAAAAAAATCACACAAATTTAAAAACAAATCTTGTTTTTTTTTGTTTTTGTTTTTTCAACATACCTGCCCTGGAAGGTCTAAGTACCTATAGACCTGATCATACATGCGGGGGTCCTGCAACTACAAGAACAAAAAAAACCACAAGAGAAGCAGCAGGGGTGAGGACTCAAAATGGAAAAAAAAAATGGCACAGTGAAGATAACGGCGCCGCTGAATGCAGTCGACGGGTACAAAAACCTGTGTGAGTGAGGAAAACAAGTGAAACAAAAGGGGGGAAAGAAAAGTGCTGCTAAACAGAAAATGACAGCGTGTGCAGCCTGTGGGGGGG